AGTTGCTAGTGTACCCTTCGGAGCGATAAAGTTTGCTTTTCTCCTTCTACAGTTTTGTCGATAGCTACCAATAGGAGATATGCAATCAAAAATCCAAAGGCTTGGCGCAGCTGCGCCCAGCTGTTGGAGCATCTCAGTAATGCCACTAACTTAGAATACCTATGCCTGTTGTTCAGGCAGTTATGGTCTTCCTGGTACGCATTATTATTGTCATCAAAATTTTTATTATTATCATTGTCGTTATTTTTACCATTATTTATAAAATCATCTTATTACTATTATTAACATCACTACACTATTATTATCTTGCGGCTTTGTTTATAAATATTACTATTATTCCATCTATGCTTGCAAACTTTCCAGTAATATTCACTTAGTACTGACGATCTCTCAACCTTAGCAGTTGAGCATAATAATCTTAGCGGTACTTCAGCTAGGCTTGTAGGCAGCAAATCTTTAGACTAGGGTTTGAGTTACTTGCACCAAAGCAATCTTGAACAGGCCCAGTAACTGGGTAATATTGAATCCGCACTGACCTCACAGGCTGATGCAGCTGGCAATTTCTTCTTCTCTGGCATGCATTCACTGCTACCAGCAAAATTTATTTAAAAATTAAAATGAATCCTTGGAACTTACTGTTCATGAAAAATTCCGTGAATATCTACTACTGCCTGCCATTTTCTGAATTTGATAAACTTGATTACTTTAGAACTACGGTAAAAAAAACAACTTTGTTAACTTGTATTTCATTGCATCGCTCTCCAGTTGTGCAATTAGCAGCTTTTCCAATTGCTTAAACCAATGCTGCATCACTTGTTGGTCAGCCTATTGGCGATTCGGACATTCGCATCAATTACGCAAAAGAAATACTTATTCAAAAGGCTGTCTCATTTTTGAACAGTTTGCCAATTGCTTCACATTTCAGGTATCTGTCCTATTCAACCGATGAGGAAAAAGCTGTGTTTGAAGAAATTTTTAAGTTGCCTAAAGAGGTAGAAGGCTATTTAAAAATTCTTTTGTGGAAGGATAAAGCTTTTGTCTCTGTAGATTAATCTCTCTCTCTGTAGCTTTTGTCTCTCTGTAGCTTTTGTCTCTGTAGATTAATAAGTTAACAATCCACTGAGGCGTCTCAGTGATTCCGGTAGATTTTTCAGACAAAAATAAAGGCGGCGATGATAATTATTCCTGGGGGATTTCCTACATGGTGTTGGGAAGAATGGATCATACGTGCATGCGAAGCTCTGCCAAACGACATTTCCCTGAACCCATGCATCTGCGTTAATCAAGCATGCAAATGGTTTAAAAGGTATGCTGTTTATGCAAATGTCCGCAACGCAGTTATCAGTGTGTGCATCGGATGCTGACGCATGCAGACGTACGCTTCTGAAGCCTATTGCTGCAATTCGACATGTCTGGAAATGGAGGATTCAAATCTTATAGTCGGGCAGCCAACTGCTCTACAGCCCAATCGTTTTGATGGTAAACTGATAATGGCTTAAGAAAAACAACTTTCAGCCTTTTCCAAAAGGCTGTTTAAACCGATGAATTTTATCAGAATAGCGAGAAAGTCTGACTGGGAAAGCAACTACAACACTGGACTGTTAATGAAGGTATTAGTGATGACATATATATTATATATATATTTTTTCATTGGTATTTATATATATATAACATCAATGAAAAAATTAATCAACTGAAAAGGAGTATTTCGGTCCACTGAGTCGCATGCGTTCCAATTTAGCCCGCAACGGAATCTCGTTAGTACAACGGTTGTGATATTGATTAATTAAGAGTTAATTCACGACATGCAGCTGGATGGTTTTTCCCCTCAACTACGACCCTGTGCTTCCAGCCTGCACACCAAGTATCTTACAGAAAAGCTTTTTGTGAAGACGCAAAAAAATGCAAAATTTTGGACGAAATGACTACCTTTTATTCTAATTTTTTTTAAAAACAAATTTTGCAGTGATCTCAATGAAATTGGTGTGATTTTGATCAGTGGAGATGCAGTACGTCTTCTACGCTGCCGTGAAGTGGGAGAAGCTGTTGAACGGCAATACGAGGAGCAAAAAGTAATCGCTATTTCTTATCTGGTGCCAGGTTGCTGAGGATGATTGCGCGAAAATCACATTAGCCTCCCCACCTACGGTCAGTGCCGAAAGAATGAAATTATAAAAGCTCAGGGCTATAAAATGTGTCTCTTCTGTGCCAACTCGGCAGTGGACTTGTCTCATGCACATAGGACTGCTAAATCGCATTCGTTTATTGAGAAAACGGGAACATTGCTGTTCATGTCAGCAAAGCGTTGTTACTAAGTTGTGTACTCTAAGTTCTTTCATCTCTGATTTCTGAGGTAAATTGAAAATGGCTCTCAACCAAGTATTTCATTTTCTGAGATAAACTGTACATGAAAAGCTGCATAAAATCCAAAATTCGATACTGGCCCTTGCGCGATCTCTTTGTACCTCATTACTGACACTTTCCAAAATTTTATGCATTTTACTCTCAAGTGGTATTACTAATTGTACATAATAAAAAAAAGAAACTTAAATACGTCACAAGGCATTCAGTATTGGCACGGAGCACTTGTCAATTTTTACACTAACTAAAATGTTTGCCAGTCAGATATGCAGTGTAGTTGAAAGATAGGAAAGTCCGCCGATATGACATAATATCTGGCCAAAAAAACACAAAATCCTCTCTACAAATTAAAAATCCAATCAGGTTTGTGCAAAAATTTCACCAAAAAAAATATAAAAATAGGTAGGAGAATGTTAAGCTAAGTTATTTCAAAAATCGGAGGCATCCTTAAAAAACTGCAGTTTTCCAACTTATTTAGTTGTTAAGTCGAAAGTGTTTAACAAAACCCGAGCAAATAGCTTTCATTATAGACGTAAAGAAGTAAAAAAAAAGGAATCTAAATAAAAAAATATATCTGAGACACTTGGCACAGAAAGAACTAAAAGGGCACCCTCATCATCCTAATATTTTCTTTATTGGAACCTGATTCTCTGAAGGATATTTTAGATAGATGTTTTAGAATAAGATATTAAGAAAATGGGGCAATCGTACTCAAATGATCGAAATCCGTGTTGCCGGCGAAGGCAAACAGTCCGAAGAGCATCTGCGATGCTTAAAGTAAGTTTATTTCGCTTTTCTGCTTGAGACGACATGGTTCTAGATACACACCTGGCAATTCATCAGTTGTTTTTAAATGTGTCATATTCATGAATAGTTTTGCTCATGGCATATCAGAAAAGGAATATGACCGGCCTTTTCTCTAAACGGATGCAAAAGTAGAGAAGGCCTTAAGTCAGCCACAGTGCGCAAAACTGATCCAGATATAACGCAAAATTTTAAAAGAATAAGATAAACAAGCGTAGAATTAAGCCAAAAAGAAAATAAGATTAATTAGCAATCACCAAAACCTGAGTCCTGAAATAGCATGTTAGATACTCAACACCTCAACGCTTCCTTCAATTTACGTAAAAAACGGTAAAGTGTTTCCTTGGCATATTTGGATCTACTAGATTTTATGCTTGTCTTGCTTCGACACTGCCTTATCCGATACCATCCCGCATCAAAATGAGTTGCCTGAGCCAGGATTTTGAGAGCTAGGTCGAGTAGCTTTCAAATCAAAAAATTTTATATAAAGACGGGCGAAAATAAATGGCAAAGCAAAAATTACAAATTACTCCAGACACACTGAATACCGATGAGTTGGCGATCTCGGCTCCTAGAAACTGTTGTCCAGCCGGAGAGAATGCATAAAGTCGGCCAAAATGCTTTGGGCGACCGCCAGTCTACCGGTGTCGACCGGAAATCACGACCCTACTGCCGGCAAATGTACCATGACGAAGTCTTGTGCCCACCAGGCTCCTCCAAATGACTCATATTCCTGGTGCCATATAAAACACAAATAATAAAACGGAATACTAAAAACCGTCATACCACAACAAGCCCAATTACTGGTGCAAATACTGTATGCTGTTTTAAAATCTACATGATTCTAAAGATATTCATTAATTTTTTCGACAATTTCACCTTCTCTGCACTCGTGATGTTGAAGAATGAGGTCTCACAACCTGCTCTTCCCCCTTTATCTTCCCAAATACGTTACCTATTATGAAACGTTTCTCAAAGTTCATTTTTCAGGTCACATTTCCAGGGCTTTCCCCTGTTCACCATAAAATATCCTACAGCCGGTATCGGTTATGTACACGGACGTAATTTACTTCGTACATGCGACGCAGCGGGATTACTGGTCGGATTTGTGGACGAAGCTAGTGCCACCACTGTACCAACAATTTGAACAGAATGTCCTGTGATAATTTCACAAAATCTGAGGGATCACTTAATTAGAATTTGTAGCTAGAAATGTTGTTGAATAAAAAACTTGTAATAAAAGTTATTAAGCTAAAAAACGTGAGTCTCGCGTTCGGATTTAAATGTAAGTGTCACTCTTCTGCAAGCATCAATCGTAGTATGACTTATATGGCACTAACAGCAGTTTTTCATGCATTTTTGTATCAACCAGCAAATAACGGTATACAGCCGGTCAAATGCACATCATTTTTTTTGCATATTAAATTCGAACGGCTCCTTTCATTCCTAACAATCCCTCTCAGTCCTGGATTGACGATGCCCAGATGCCATCCACCGCACTTCAATTACAATACATCTGCAGCATATATTTTTCATTTTATTCCCCATTTTCGTCATATCAGTGATGTGATTTTGCCAACGACTAGATCCCTTCATGAAATCGCAATTAACAGCGATATTTTATATTATCCCTCAGGAACTTCAGCATTGATT